AAAAAAAAACAAAACAAAACAAAACAAAACAAAACAAAACAAAAGCAACAACAACCATTGAGAATAGTCCATGATTATTTGATTGATCACTCATGTATGGCTCTATTTGTTTTCCCTAGAGACCACTTTGGAGAAACCAGGGTATAGTACAACAACCATCGATAATTTCCTGCCATTTCTCTCTGTAACTCACTATTATTTGTCTATTTGTTTTCCTGAGAAACTATCTTGAAGATACCAATAGGTAAAATAACAACCATTGACAATGTCCTACCACTTTGTCTGTAATTCGGTGTATCCCCCTGCTGCTTTGTTGTCCTTCTTTTACTCTTTAAAATTAAAAAAAAAAAAAAGAATGAGAGCTAATATGAACAGGGTTTCGTCAGGGAGGATGTTCAAGATGTTCTAAAATTACACTATGGTAATTCACAACTCTGAAAAAAACCACTGAATTTTATGCTTGAATAGGGTGAATTTTGCCAGATGTAGTGTTGCACACCTATAATTGCAACACTTGGGAGGCTGATGCAGTGGCATCACTGCAGGTGTGAGACCAGCCTGGGCCATATACTGAGTTCAAGGCTGGTCTGAACTTCAGACAAAAGGAGAATTTCATGGTATGTAAATTATATACTGATAAATGTGTTTTATATATTTAAAATGTGATTGGAAAAATGGTTAATGTATAAATAAAAACTTATTACAGTAAAAGACACATGGCCATTAATCCCCCTCAAAATACACCCCTTTTCTTTGAACACACTTATCCGATCATTCTTGCTACTTTCTGAAGCAGTTTTAGAAGTCCTATTTCGTGAATGTCTCTGGTTGTCCTGTCATTGCTGCCTCAAAGTCCTGAGTTAATTCAAAACATTTCCCTTTCATGACCATTTTGACTTGGGGAATAGTCGGAAGTTGTGTAGTGCCATATCTGATGAATAAGGAGGATAAGGACACATCAGGAAGTGTTTAATAAGACTGCTTTCTGTGGGATGGCACTGGCAGCAGTACTCACCGTATTTTTTAAATCACACCTCATGGAGACACTCATGACAGAGGATTTCCAGAATGCTTCAGAAAGTGGCAAGAATGAACAAAAAGTGTGTTTAGAGGAGGAGGAGTATTCTGAGGGGGATTAATAGCAATGTGTCTTTTATTGTTAAAAATTTTAAAAATTTAAACATTCACATATATTTTTATACTGTGTTTTTTTCAGGCTGTCAAAGTACCCACAACAGTGCAATTAAGACAGTCACGAAAGAAGCCTTCCAGCACTGCTTCAGAAAGTGACAAGAACAATATATAACACACACATACATGTGCTCTGTGGCCTTAGATAGGTTATTTATTTGCTCTGTGTCTTAACTTTATATGTCTATAGAGTCCTGGGAGGATTTATCTACATGTTTAAGTTTAATAGATATTAATATATGATTACTACTTCAAGTGATATATAGATCACTTGACACTATACCTGGCATAGAGCATAACTCAGATTATGCCAGCTATTACCTTAAATTCTCTGTGTTACAGAAAACCTCTTTTAAAATGCCTTTTTCTGTGTACAAAATAGTTAGCCATCCTCTTCCATATAATTTGTTGATCTTATATTTGAAAATCATAATTATTGAGCCCTCTCCCAGTTCACCTCTCTTCATAATGAATAAAATCAGATTTACAATACTTAACTGAGTGGTAATTTTACATTTTTCTGCTTGACGTGATTAAGCATGTCTTTTGTTAAACCACTCCAAGAAGGCAGGGCCTATGCCTCCTTCTGTTCAACTCTGAATTACCAGTGCTAGTCCAGGGCAAGACACACAACAGAGCTCAAAAGATTCCTGACGAATGAATGAAGGAATGGTTATGTGTTATACCTGTTCAGCGAGTGGCCTTCCTGTAAAGGGTGATTCTCAGTGAGGGAAGGGGTGTGGAGAGAAGCAGGTTGTCATACAGGATACAGGCTGTCATCTATGAATCACCTGGGTGATTCTCTAAGGTTACTTGACACCTTCTCCCCAGGGCATAGCATACCAGAATTTACAGGGTGCTATTTTCAGGTACATGAAGGCTCACTTTACCTAAAATATATCTGACACAACTAGTCACTGGTGACAGAAATTTCTTTAGTAGTACACAGACCCTCTCATTCATAGTCAGAGGTCAAAGTGAAGGTACAAATGCATTTCTTCAGCTAGTGTGATATGACAGAAACATTGTTGATTGGACCAGGAGTCAACAAAGCTGGACTTTGGACTTGCCTCCACTTTGGACATAAGTATATGACAGGAAGGGAAGTGAGGTGACTACACAGGCTGCTGAGTGTCCAGAGGCGTAGAGAACCGCAGCAAGGGCAAGCACGGAGACAACAAGATGTTAACAGCAGCACCATCTCACAGTTTTGCTTAAGCCTACCCTCTCTTGAGCCCATCTGCTTTCGGCTGTCAGTGTGAAAACCTCGTAAGTCACACTGGCCAAGCTAGGGTCTTCCTTGGCAATCCGGATATCTGATCACCGGCCCACCAAGTGACATTTCCACAGGGAAGCCGCAGCGGGGTTCATTGTCTGCTGTGTTCTACCTTCGCTCTTATTTCTCAACACGTGTTAGTTGTTTTTCAGCAGAGTGCCCGTGCTAGTTCATGTTCACCTTTTCATCCGGGCTAATGCCCAAAGCCCTGTGCTGTGCTTCAACTCTGTTTTTAACCTTTTGAATTGTAAAATATCCACACATAACACATAGAAGTATGAACTGTTATTAATGAACTGTTCTCAAGTCAACATCTGTGTAACATATATACAGCTTACACAAATACACAGGTTGCATTACATTACATATATATGTATATATATATCATATGCACATAAAAATGTTACATTAATTTTTTGTAAGGTAAACCTCAATAGGAATTATTTTTTAAAGAGAAAGAAATGATACATTGTAAAAACCTCAGAAAGCCCCAAGCATAGCCCCTCTTCAATTCCAAAGTCTCTATTCCTCCCTCAAAAAATCATCATCTATCATCTTGCCAGGCATGGTGGCGCAGACCTATAATCTCAGCACTTGGGAGGCTGAGGCAGGAGGATAACCATGAGCTTGAGGCCAGCCTGGGCTACATAGTGAGTTCAAGGACAGCCTGGACTATGCAGGGAGACTCTGTCTAAAAAAAAAGTCATCTTGCCTTTTATGGTATTTACTTTTCTTGCTTTTCTTTATGGATTTATTACCTAAGTAATCTCCAAAACCAATAGTTTAATTTTGCCTTCTTTCAAACTTTATGGAAACATAACTGTGTAATATATGTTCCTCTGTGTTAGACCTCTTCCATTCAATATTGTTTTCTAGATTCACCCACATTATTGCTTATGGCTATAATGTACAGATTTTCTTTTCTTTTATTTATTTCTTTTATTTTATTTCTTTTATTTCTTTTATTTTCTTTTTATTCCCTAGCAAAGGGACATTCCACAATGTATATATTTTATGGTAGGAGGGTACTAGGGTTGTGGTATATACCCTAGCAATACTGCTATGAACATTCATGTACATGTGCTCAGATTTACCTGGACACATTTCTGTTGCATGTACATCTAAAGTAGGACTCTGGTAACCTGTGGGGTGGTACGTGTGCATTCACCTTTACTAGGTAATGACAAACTTGCTGAAACAATTGTATCAGTTCGTGCTCTACCCAACAGTGAAGAAGATACTTCCTACTGTTAGAGTTTTAATTTTAGCTGATCTGTTGAAAAGTAGAATTTCATTATCATTTTAATGTACATTCCTACCCCATGATTTTAGAGGGATTTTAGTGCCCTTCTTAGGATTATACACCCTGTTTAACTTTTTTCTGAGTATTTTCCTACCTACCAGCATATGTTTGTTATCTATTTTTGCATCACAGATCATGCCAAAACTTATTGATTTAAAACAATAAACATTTATTATCTCACACACCCATTTGTGTAGGTCAGGAATCTGGGAGTGCCTTAGCTGAGTATTTCCGGCTCAGTCTCTCCTGAGGTTGAGTCAATGTCTGCAGTCATCTGAAGGCTTATCTGAGACCAGAAGATTCAGTGTGAAGTCAGCTCATGCGCATGCCTACAAGTCAGTGCTGATGTTGGCAGGCGGCCTCCATTCCTGTGCACATGGACATCTCCAGCCAGCTGCCCTAAGTATTTCATGACATGGTAGTAGTCCTCCCCTAGAGTGAGTCATCCAAGACAAAGACAAGGAGTAAACCACAATACCTCTCACGATCTGGCCTGGAAATCACTTCCACCATCTTGTATTCAAAACATAGTAAGGCACCAAATACAGACCACAGAATTACACTTCATATTTTGAAGGACAGAGGACCAAAAAATTGGGGAATGTGCTTTAAAACTGCTGGACATATAATATAAAATCTTATGATTTCTATCTTTTGGCAAGTACCAAAATCATCATTATTTTAGGCATCAAATAAAGAATTTCAATTCAATAATTTAAAAATTCCTTGGAAAACATTGGAGAAGACATAAGAAACATGCATAACCTGAAAGTATCTTCTCAGGAGATTCTCACTAATAATAAAGGGAATAATAATAACTTTATGGTGGAAACACTTGGCCAAAACAACTATGACCAAGTTATCAAAATTAACATCCTCAATAATGAGACAAGTCAATACTACGTGACTTCCAATATAATACACTGAGAACACAAAACATTATTTCTACAGTACTCTTGCCAAAAATACATAACTGAAACTTAACCATGAGGAAACATCAGATAAGCTAAACCCAAGTTAATGAACATTTCATGAAATGACTGGATAGGACACTTGCATAGCATCAAGGTCACAGAAAATGAGTTGAGAAGTTGTCCCCAAATAAAGGAGACAAAAAGCATTACAACCTAAGACAAAATGTGATCCTGGACCTGAAAAACTGGACCAATCAAATGAATGGTGGTGAAATTTGAATAAGGTCAGTAAATTAGTTACAAATGTATCCACGTCAATGTTCTGATTTTTAAACTTGTACTGTGGTTATATAAATGTCAGTGTGTATGGAAGATGGGTGAAGATTATATAGGGATTCTTTATTTTTTTTGTAACTTTTTGATACACCTAAAATTATTTCAAAGTATCTCCTGCTACCTATAGCACTCGGTAGAAATTTCCTACATAGCATCTGTTGTACTGTATTGTAAGTAGATGCTTACATACTTAGATTTTGGGCATTCTTGTTATTGTTGCTGTTTGTTTCTTTTTTCTCCTGAGTAGTACTAGTTTCTAAAGGACAAAGTCTAAGAATGGCAGGCCTATTAGTTATTTCTATGTAAGAAAACATCCCCAAATATTAGCAGTTTAAATCAACTTTTATTATATCATATTGTTTCTGTCAATACAAAATCTAATGGCAGCTTAAATTAGTGATTTCTAGCTTACAGTCTTTCACAAGAATCAAGGTGAAGTCTCAGCCAGGCATGTAGTCATCCAAAGACATGACTTTGTCTGTTGAATCTGCTTCTAAGATGGTTTACTCATTTAACTATTAATCCAAAAACCTCAGTTTCCCCTCAGCTGCTGGCAGAGTGCCTCAGTTCTTCATCACATGAACCCCTCTATAGAGACATGGCAGCTGGCTTCTTTCATAGCAAGGATTCTGAGATCACAAGCCATAATTTCCTTTATAGTCTACCCCTGAAGTGACATACCATTGCTTTTACAATGTCCTATTGCTGTTATACTTCACAGGATATGCATACCAGGAAGCAAGAATCACTGAGGCCTATCATTGAGGCAGACTACCACGATAAAACTCCTCCAATGTCTGAATGAATGAAGTTATCTCTAAACCACATCCTAAAACATTTGGTGATCAAAGAACCAAAATAAACTCAATTATCTCAAAGCGGTTTGAGCTACAAAAATGTCATTTCCAGACATGGGTTAGCATCACACACAAACCTTAAGAGAGGTCCCCATGCATTATTAAACCACGTCTATTACTCTGAATAGAAGAACTTGTCATTTTCCAGGAATAAAAACTCTGAACAGTGAAGATGGGGTGACTGATTGAGGTGACTGGAAAAGTCAGAAGACCCAGGAGTAGACTGCTTGAGCTACTATCTTCTGGGTGGCCTAAGTCTTCTCCTACCTTTATTAAATGCTAAGTCTTCTTCTACCTTTATTAAATGCCAAGTCTTCTTCTACCTTTATTAAAAGAAGATTCATGGGTCCAGGATAAGGCAGCTCTGCATCAATATGTTAAAATTTTCCCTTTCCTAATTTTAGGGTGAATTGTATTTCCCACCACCTCCTATCCTCTGATGTAAAAGCAAAACAAATCACTGACCAAATGTGCAGATTTTTGAAGATTCTCATATTACTTACTAGCTGTGCACCCTAACAGAGGCTCCATGGCCACATCTTTTGGCCTTGTCTCCTTGTCTCATGCTACTTCTCAGTGAGGACTGTTCTTTCCTTGAGTTCTAGTGTCAACCATTATAATTCTACCAATTTGTCTAGTTGTGGCCATGTCTCTCCTTCAATAAGATGCCCTGATCATTCCCACTAGAGCATTTTCTTCTTTATGAAACAAATCTGTCTCATAACTTTTTCACATTTAGAGAATTTACATTTTCAAAAGTATTTAGATACATGTAAGACATATTATACA